TGATTTCGAGCATTTGGCCTTCCTAGAACTTTAAGGATGATTAAAAAGGGGAAGATGAGAAACAAATTCAAATCAAACTACCACATTGTATGGCTCCTGACGTTGTGGCCTACACACTTGACAAAAGTTAACAAATTAATGTGCGAGTCCCTCAGTTGTTTTAGTATCAAATCGATAAACTTTTGCCGTACTAGGGCGACCTTCCTTTGCTCTGCTTCTTCTCTGCGCAACGCACTGTTCAGTCGTATGTACGTTTCGGTTTTGGCACTTTGTAAATATTTCATGAAAACAAAAATGTTTGGATGAGACGACGCACAACCCATGTTGAAACGTGAAGTGGAAACTCGCACGAGTTGGTCGTCCTACAAAGCTCACGACGTACGTGCTGTACCTTTGAAACCCTTCTTTGTGTGAATCATTACTAGAAAATTGCAATATGTGTGTAAATGTTATTAATTATCAATCATTGAGATGGGGACGCCACCTAGGTGCGTATTTTAACCCAAATATGAGTGAAGGATGAGTGTAGAATGGTGTGTGATGACCTGTGTAGCTTTGTTACCGACTAAGATCAGCGGTTTCATTAGTCAGGATCATTTATTTAAAGCCCAATGATCAGGAACAGCTGGGTCCAGTTTCAAACCATCAAAAAGCTACGGACTTTTCTCAGGATCGAACCGGCGATCTTATGATTAGTTATTATTATATTTATTTTTATTTATTATGTAGGCTATTCCACATTTTTCATTTAGAAGGGTTTTTTAAATCCACGGCGCAGCTAAGCTGTATGTACTAAGTAAATTTCATCCACATTGGATTTCATTTTTCATTGTTAAATAAACAAATATTTATTCCATTCACACTTAAATATCACCTTAAACATGTCAGATGTATTCTCTATTTAGATACCATTACGTTTAACGCGTACTTAGTACTTTTCTGACACGGGAAAGGTAATTTAGAGGGTTTTTTTAGTAAAATAATAAAAGCTTAGGATGAAATAAACCAATTTTTCAAATGTGATCAAATATTTCCAAAAACAAGCAAACTAAAACAGTTGAGTTTTAGATTTACGATGTTTTGAATTTTTGTCGTATAAATTAAATTATTTGAATCAATTTTCAATTTGAATAATTTGTGTAAAATTGTGTAAAGAGTAATAGGGAAACGGAACCCAAATTTACCCTTTAAAACCACCATAGTTCTCCGTCCACATCGTCAGATCATGCTTGTTCACGAACTCGTTCGAAGAAATTTTGATTTAGATATTTATACTCACAACTAGGCACTATACCCGTGCCTTGCAACGGGGCCAGTATGCAAAAGATATAATGTTCAAATGTTGGTTCTTTGAAAATACCTTAAAATGGTTTCACACGCACAATTTAATTAAAAAACAAAATTGAACCATATTACTTAAATTTATAATATAGTAGTACGTTTTTGTTAACTCAGACTGTGAACACCTATTTAGGCTACCTAGGATCAAAAACCAATGATAGATGTTAAGGTATTTCATCAATGAACAGTTAGATGCATTGTCCTTCCAGGCCTGGAGGTCCCATGCTCGAAATCACCACAGGATTAGCGATCCTATTACTGCCGCTTCAGTGAGTGCTCGAAATCAGTGCACCGGTGGCTACATACCAAATGAAAGATCATTAAATTTTCAACAAAAATGACATTTACACTCTTATTTCATTCCTAATGGTTACCGAGTTGCTTTAAAACATGTAGTTTTTTCTCAAACTGTCGGGGTGCGAACAATGGTGCAAACTAAAGTACAATTTAAGAAAAAAAAACACATTTTAGCGCCCTATAACTCGGTAACCATTAGGAAAAAATAAAAGTGTAAAAATAATTTTTGTTGGAAATTTAATGATTTTTTATTTAGTATTGGTCACTTTAAGCTCCGACAAACGGTTCTCGAGATTTTAGCAAAAACGAATTAATGGGTCCTGTTTCCGCGAATCGCCACTAGAGTTCGCCTCATATCTATTTATGGGGACTTTTGGAATAATTTTCCCAAGGTGCTTAGAAATATATGTGCAAAGTTTCTAAACTTTCAGATGTTTCGGATGTTTCGTCATAAATTAATATATTTTGACTGGACGATAAATTTGGCATATGACAATAAAGCTAAAAGTTTCCCTTTAGAAAAATTGGCGTATGAAAAATTTTAATACTGATAAATGTATTCATACGCATATTCAGTTGAGATGTGGATGCGAACTAGGTGCGTATTTTAACCCAAATATGAGTGATGGATGAGTGTAGAATGGATGGTGATGCCTTGTGTAGCTTTGTTACTGACAAAGATCAGCTGTTTCATTAGTAAGGGCCACTTATTAAAAGCCTAATGATCAAGAACGGCTGGATCCAGTTTCGAACCACCAAACAATTACTCAGAATCGAACCGGCGACCTTTTGATTAACAGGCAAGCACAATTAGGCCCTACCACTGAGCTATGTAAGTACCGTAATGGAAAAAATCCACCTTAAACTCTTATCATAAGGTAAAATGGATTTTCAACAAATGTTAATTATGTCTAACGTCTTCAAACAAATTATAAAGATTTACTGTTAACCCATTTTTTTACGAAAGAAAAAGTCACAATCCACCCCATTGAGATAAAAATAAAACAATTTAATAAGTGTAGGGGTTTGTCATAAATATATTTAGGTCTATGTTGGATGTGAATTACGAAGAAATTCACCAAGATATGTTTTACAACAAACAAAAAATGTTTTACAAACAAAATTAGTTTATTGCATACGGACATATTCTAGCGCCTGCAGTTCGGTGATACAACCAGACACACACACCGGCTTGGACACAAGCTTGCTAGCAAGTGAAGGCGCAAGCTAAATGTGGGATTCAGAAGTGAAACAATAGTTTTATTTTCTTTGATTTTTTATTGACGGAAAATTAATTTAATAATTTACATTATATATAGATTGGTTTACAGATCAATTATATTTTATTTGGAATAATTTTGGTTTTAAGCACTCGACGGTATTTTTTTGTGGATATAATGTTATTCCATAAGTTTGTTTGGACTACCTACGTATTTTGTTAATATTTTGTTACATTATTGACCTTTTAGAAACTAGAGTAGTACTGATATTTGTGGTTATTTTTAAATCGGTAGTGACTTGTTTAAGAAAACAAAAGGATATGTTATTATAGGTTTTAAATTGTTTAAAATAATGCTTGTAGTTAGTTATTCAATAAAAATCTAATCATATATTAATAAACATTGAATTAAATGTTAGCTTGCGATTGGCTTAAAGGTAAAAAATATCATTTAACTTGAAAATAAAAATTAAAAAAAATAATTAGATGGTAGTATCTAACTTGAGAGAATACTTTTAGGAATTTGCAAAAGAAACAAGTATCCATACAAATACATCGATATTAAAGAACAAGGCTTCTAGAGACTCAATAAAGACAGTAGAATCATATAAATAAGTTCATTTTTAAAAGCTGAGCAAACAATAAGATAAGTGACGTAATGGTGTTGAAAAACGTAAGAAGTAGATCTTTATTTATAACTTACGTAAGTATGTGACAATAACAAATAAAATAGTCTTCTTTAACGTAGAGAGCACTCATTTGCGGAATATAAATTAAAAAATGTTTGCAAAGTTGACATTTCATTTAAAAGATGCAACAGAACTTAAGATCAGAAAATTAATCATTATCTGACTGTATCTATAAAATTACCTGATATCTCCCATCCCAAAAAGTCATCTTAAATATTTACCTTTGGACATAATTCCAATCCCGTACCCTTTACTTAACCCTATTAATCACCAACATCCAATATACCCACAGACATTCCCTATGCAGCCTAGTCAATGGAGTGTACAATATTTCATTAGCGCTACCATTTACATGATCCTGCTATTAGACATCCCGCCCTTGCTATTTGCTCACTTTATTAACATCTAATCCCACCCATTCGCTGCAACCCCTGGTCCTTGTGGGGTAGCTTGGCTTGCGTGCTCACAGTGGCACAAGAGGTGCTGCTCCGAAAGGCGTAATTCCGAAATATGCAGAAGCAAATTTCCGAAGTAGTGTTAGGCAGGCGCACACCGCTTGCTTCAAGGTATGTAAATCTATACAGGGTGTTCAAGGTGGGGACATAATTTACGTAGTAATTAAATTCCTTAGGTCAAAATAAGCAAAACTGTTTAAACAATGTCCTATCTCCTATACTGTATCGTAGAAATCTTCTAACTAATTTTCTGTTTTCGTGTAATGTAGCATAAAATATTTAATATAGACTTCATAAAAACAGTTTAGGAGTTTAAATTCAGATTTTTCTAAAGGATAGTGGCAAATGATATGATATTTTTGCAGAATTGTAACGCTGTATGGATGTTTTTAATAAAAAAACACATACAGACGGACAGACGCTAAACGAAATGAAGTATGACATCTGTGTTCATATAAACTATTTTATATTTTGGCCCGAGGAATTACTAAGTAATCAATACGCAGGATCAGCTGTTTTTTAGCTAGAATCATATACGTGCCTAATAAAATCTAATAGTAAAGGACAGCTGGGTACAATTTCACACCATTAAAAGCCACTGACTTTGCCAGAACCGAACCGAGAACCATCTGACTTTTAAACGATCTCTATTACCACTCAACTATTTGTAGCTATACAATTGTAAATACGGTAACGATAACAAAATAGCATACAACATAAATCGTTAACTTTAAAAGATTCACAAACAGCTTCTAAGACATGTTGTGCATTTGAAAACACAGAAAACTCGTAGAACAAAAAAACAAACAAAAAACAAAAAAATAAACAAAAAAATAATAAACAAATAAAATAAACAAATAACCTTTTAAAGAAAACTAAAGGTTTTCGATTCCTAAATCGCCGTTTTGAGTTTAAATGCTTAAATTTTCAACAAACACCTTAATCTATTAAAAAACAATTTTTTCACGTAAAAAGCAAGATTATTGTAACTAAACTTACCTGTCTTGTCTATTTCCGGAGTAAGCGTTAAGGTCCAAAATGTCGTCCAGTGAAACTCTGAAATTAAAAAAAAATATTTCTCAAAGCAAGAAACTCAGATTTTAAGTTGAGCTACAATCACTGCATCATAGTTCTGCTGCAGTGATTGTAGCTCAACTTAAAACTGACTTTACAATATAGTTTGCTTTACCAAAAATAAGTGAAAAAATATGAACGAGACTATACTTTAATGTAATATGTAGCAAACTAATCAACTACGCTAAAACGTTAGAAGTAGACGGTGAACAATATTGAAGGATGTCACTAAACAAATTAAAATTTACCATCCAAAAGGCTAATTAAATTATTTGAGTATTTAGAAGTATACAACAACATGTAAAAGATAAAGCCTGTTATAGAATGAAAATGAACGTAGTTGAAGCCCCAGAAGCCACCGATAGAATGCACTAATGTTAATTACTTTTTTATAAACACAATAATTTATTCGACAATCATCTATTTAAACGAAATATTGGCTACAGCTGGTCCATTTAAATGGGAATTCTACTTCAGTGTCTTAAGGTTAATACTACTAAATTTAACACGTAGTTAGTTAACAAAGTTAGCATTAAGTATCATAATTCTGTGAATATAGGTGAATACCACTGTTATTATTGAACATCTTATAAATAACAAAATGTGGGTCTTCTTTTCCAAGTTTGTTTGGCTCTTCTATCCGACCAATTTTCATGATTGAGGTCTCAAATTGAAGGTATGCAAACACATATTTCAAAGTATCGGCATATTTATCTACTGTAAACTCGACAAAATAAAATGTTTTATTTTCGAAATCTCACTTCAATTTAAGACGTATTTCACCAGTTATAATTATATAATCCTTTATATTTTGGTCTATGGACCTTCAGTGAAATATTGGCTTTCATTTAAGCTGTTAGTTATTCAAATCGGACGAGTTTCAAGCAGAACAACCAACAAGTAAAATGTTTGTATAAGGTTTTTCTATGATAAAAAATCAATAGCTCCAGGATTGTTTATGTTTTTGACAAAATAATAAGTGAGTTATAGGCTTTAATTTGAGCTTTTGGTCGTTTTAAACACTTAAGTTCAAGTTATTACTCAATCAAAAATCATAAATTTAATTTCTCGGATATGATATTTATTTCAACGCTGCGGAGCAGCATGGGTCCTATAGTTTGGTTAAAAAAAATAGTTTAGAAAAAATCATTTCAAAATTTTATTCAAACGAAATTATATGACTCATTTGGAAGAGGATGTTAACAACTATATGTATTTTGCGAAATTATTATTGGTATTATTAAATTTGAGTTTCAAAGAATTATTGAGCCTCCGGATTACTGTATTATATTTAAAAAAGTTCACAATACAAAACAACCAAAACACTTAAACTCCTTTCAAAATATCAATACCTTACAGAAATCTTATGAAAAACCCCTTGTAACGAGAAGCACTTTTAATAAAGAAAATCGTCAAAAGGAACAATCTAACAAGGTGAGTAAATGTTCAGAATGTGCGAACTCACGTGCATTTGACAGTCTCCAACAATGGACTGCTGGCGTTGATAGACCTGTAACATCAGACATCAAACAAGGATCAGGAATGTCGATATTAATCCATAGTCAAAGGCGATACAGACTCCTGTTATTACCAACTGCTCGACTGAATCACAAGTGATATCCTTTTATTGTAAAGGTTTTCAAAAGGTTATAAATGTTATAATGGACTGCAAGATCGGATTCTATTGTCAAAGAGGAGAATCAGGGATCGTAAGATGCATTGAAGTTCGTTGTTGAAACGAAATTTAATTAGTTATACGCGAGGTTAAGTTTTTAGCAAATTTTCCTAGGAAAGAAGAAGCTATAACCGTACACCTCATGGTAAGGAAAACAATACAAGATAAAAAACAATGAAATCGTCATCACTGGTAAAACATATAGACAATGGATAATAAGGAATACTTAAAAAGTTACAAAAAACACTTAACACAACAAAACCAATCTACTGCTTATGTTCTTACCTTATTGCGGATATGAGCTCACTCTTTTGTTCTTTTTTTACCAAATCGGTTTTGTTTAGAATGACGAAATCTGCAAGAGCCACTTGCCTGAAATATAAATAAAGTGATATAAATTTCCAAAAATGTTTCATCCTTACTGTATAGCGAATATTTGGTGTTATGCTAGATGTGAATGAATGGTTAAAGGTATCGGGGTAAATTTAGGGAAAACGAGATTAAAAGGTTTCACAAAACAAAAACCAAATAATAAATAGTTATAGATTCATGGTAAACGTATTATTTCTCATGTCACCTGTTGTAAATGGCAATGACAGTAAAAACGTTCTTTCGCATAACACTCAAATTAAAATTCTTAAAGTTCCTCCTGAAACATCAGAGTATGGATGATGTAATTTTTTGTGGTGTTCAAAATGGCCGCCCTGAAGTAGGAAGGGGGGAAGGGTAAATGACGTTAGTAAACTGTTTTGCGAGAAGAGAATCTGCTGAGACAAATGATATGGTAAGTGAGTTGTCGTGATTGAGTTAGTCTCCCAGTGCGGGACGTAATGTTATCAACCTTCATCGTACATTGTGCCTTCCTCGATACGATACGATCATCGATATTGACACTGCGATATGTGATGCGATAACTTTTGTAAGTTGTCGTGATTGAGTTAGTCTCCCAGTGCGGGACGTAATGTTATCAACCTTCATCGTACGTTGTGCCATCCTCGATACGATACGATAATCGATATTGACACTGCGATATGCGATGCGATAACTTTTGTAGTGAGTTGTCGTGATTGAATCTGTCTCTCCAGTGCGATAAGTAATGTTATCAGAGGTACCCTTCATCGTGCATTGTACCATCCTCGATACGATTCGATACGATAATCGATATTGACACTGCGATATGCGATGCGATAACTTGTAGTTAGTTGTCGTGATTGAATTAGTCTCCCAGTGTAATGCTTCATCGTACGTACTTGGTACCTTCACGATACGATAGGATAATCGATATTAATACTGCGATATGTGATGCGATAATTTCTGTAGTGAGTTGTGATTGACTTAGTCTCATAGTGCGGGACTGGAACATAATGCTATCAGAGGTACCCTAGATCGTACATTGCACCTTCCTCGATAATCGATATTGATACTGCGATATACAATACGATTATCTACTGAAATTTTAGGTAATTATTTTACAATGTAGGATATGTCCCTACCATCCTTTGTAATTCGATATGCAAGTACTGTTTTTATTTTGCATTAAGAGATGCGGTTAAATTGATAAATGTCAACGGTAAGCAAGTTGTGCATATTTTATTCATAGTCATAAAATAATTTCCTCTTTCAAGCGATGTTATTCCGATGCAATTCACGAAGTTGGTTCCGCGATATTAAATGCTACTTTAGTATTGCCTCCGGGTTTCATATTGACCACCTTGTCTCTCTCTGAATACCAAATACTCTAAGACTATAAAATATTTTTGTGCGACGTAGTCATTTTTCGGAGGGAAATATTTCCAGGGTTCACCGTTCGTTTTTTTCCGCGCAGTAGCTAACAAAATTGTACTAAACCAAAGTGTTAATTTTTTACGTAAGCATTTTATCACCATAAGCCATCAGATTACCGTTTATATAGTCACTGCTCCGACAAAAGTAAAAACATTTCTTCGGTAGTCATAAATATTTTAACAGGGTTTAAGATGGTGTCAACAAATATTTTTTTAAGTATTGTGGAACGACATAGCTACGGATTATTCCACAACCTATTCTTCGTTAAACGCGTATTACAATTTGTTTTCTATTTCAAAGAGCCAAAACTGTTCGTTTATTTAATTATTGAACTAAACCTAAAATCATGTTCCTTTATGTTTTAGAGTCAACTGTACAACAAAATAGATTACAAAGGATTTGTGCGTTTATAACCTAGACAAATCTGTCTTAAATACGTTAGTGGTATGAGTCCAATTTGGCTGTGGCGTCTGCGTATCGCCACAAAGAAGTAAGAAATGTTAGAAAAATAAAAAATCTTACTTCTCTGTAGTCTGGCAGATTCAATGAAGAAATGGCACAAAAAGCCACAGTCAACAAGACTTGGACATAGAAACTGTTCATATAACAACGTACTCAAAGTTCATTCTTAAATTTACATTCACGTGAAATCCAAATCACATACCTGATAGCAGCATTTATTTTGTTGTCGCTATCATCTTTCAGCTTTTCCTTCAGTTGCTGAAACAAAATATTTCTGTTAAACACGTCAAATAAGGCATCATTCAAAGCAGTTAAAGTAAAATAGTAAAGGCACCCTACCTTAAATTGTCTACTTGTGTCGTTAACACTATTTACGCTAGTTGCGTACACTACTTTACCTACGGCGGTATTTTAATTACTAAAAATCACTACTCGTAACATCTAAGACAGGTTTTGTTTTCGTTTATAACCTCTCATTGCCACTGACAGTGATGCGCAACAAAACTAATTTAATAATTGCACTACTCAACAATTTAATTGGCCTGAACAGGCGATTAGTTGAAGTTAGAATGATTAAAATTAATTTTATGTCTTCTCTCTCGATCCTTGAACCTCATTGGTCCGTTACCCGTGTTGTTATGGATAAAACTATGCGGTTATGTGACACTTTTCAATTCTAAAGCTTAACTGAGACGGCTACTTTTAAAAACGGTCGTAGGTAAACGTACATTTCTTCATGCCTTTACACTTTTATACTTTAAAGCCCTAATAGTATTCGTAATAGTATTTAGCCTATTGATTCATTTTTGGCATTACAGTTGTCGTTTTAACTCGGAACACATAACAGACATGCCTTTTGATATATTCATTGCCTACGACCGTTTTTTAAGTAGCCGTTTCCAGTACAGTTCTTAGAATTTAAAAGTTTTTCAAAAAATTGTTTAATTTCAAAACAGCATCGTTTTACTCATAACAACACGGGTAACGGAACAAAGAGGTTCAAGGATTGAGAGAGAAGAAGTAAAATTGTATTTGAACTTCAACTTATCAGCTGTTCAGGCCAATTTAATTGTTGAGTGGTGTAATTAGTGTTTGGTACAATGTTTCGTTTCATCACTGTCGGAGGCAATGAGAATTTATAAACGAAAACATAACCTCTCTTAGAAGATAATGAGAAGTAATTTTTAGTAATTAAAACACTGTCATAGGTAAAGTAGTGTACACAACAAAGTACTGTTCTCACTCTTGGCAGCATTAAGTAAGTTGACAATTATTAATTATCAATCACGGGGTCACGGGGAGACGGGGACGCCACCTAGGTGCGTATTTAACCCAAATATGAGTGAAGGATGAGTATAGGCAGAATTTTGTGAGATGGTCTCTGTAGCTTTACTGACTAAGATCAGCTGTTTCATCAGTCAGGATCATTTAAAACACAATCAGATTTTCGAACCATCCTAGCTACACACTTTTTTTCAGAATGGCACCCGCAAATTTGTTTTTTCCATTTACACCCCCTAAGTTTCAAACTCACAATTACAAAACATGCAATCTAACCTTACAAAACCAAGAATTACAAAACCGTATCAATCCCCCGCCCCTTACCACTCACTCTCTCAGCCAATCCAATAGCAGAAGCGAAGGGGGCATACAAATACAATACATATCAACTCGCCCGGGGTGTAGGGGGGGGGGGGATACACGAGTATACCCCCGCGGGCGACAACGTTCCAAATGAAACTTCACTTTGTCTTGGTCGCCATTTTTCCTCCGAGTCAATTAATTTCTGTTCGCCCTTTGAACATGTCAACACGTTCGTACACACGGATTAGAATCGTTCATTATTGAGCTTCTTGTAGTATCAATACTAATACTGTTTCGATTCCTCCTGTTTGTCGAGTGTTTGGCAAACAACGAGTTATTTGCTCGTAATGAAAATGTAAGACGTGTTTTGTGAAATCGAAAAGGGGTTTTGTTTGGAAAGCGAGTATCATTGCGATTGCGTTCGGGATCGTTTGGAATTGATTTCTCTCACTTAGAAAATGTCTTTTGCTGTTTTTAGTTATTTTATTTATTCATTTGACGGTAGTTAATTTATATTTTAAGTGAAATAGTTTGTTGTACCTATGTAAGTTTTTTCATCAAATTGTATCAACATCTCCAAAATCGCTGTATCACGATGTTGACGCTGAAAGCTGACAAATAAAGCTTGGGTAAAGAACGAAGAGAACATTTAAAATGAATGAATGCTGACATTATTATTTAGTTTTATATTTGCATTCCTTTGTTTTACTTATAGCAATATGGAAATGCCCCTGAGCGCATATGTGTTATATTTGGCGTCCAGGGGTACACCAATGCAGACCTCTATACTCACTAAGTGAGCTGGACGACACACCACTTTTTGGCAACCCGCCGCCATCTTAGTTAAATTTTTTGTAAATAGTAGTATTATTAAATGTGACGCAATCTATTCCGACTTTGTCGGTCAACGATGCAGTATTCAAGTAAGTATTCAAGTAATGTAGTTAAGGGTATAGTGCAATGATCAAACTCTACTAGGCCTAGGTGCAAACTTGACTTACAAAATAGCTTGGGAGTGTAAAAATTCGTGTACCCCTTGCAGAATGTTGCAAAAAGCCTTTGTAATGTTCAAACCAGAGCCGGCTTTGGGTGGGGACACAGTGAACAATCAGAGTATTTACTACCAAAATAGTAGTTCAAACGTGCAAAGATGCTGTTAGAACATGTTGCAAACGTGTATTCATTTTACTGACTCATTCTTCTTCGGCTCACCCACCACTTTGTTTGGTAAGTTCCTGCAAATAAAAGAGGAATATCCTATTTTCCTGTGGTTTCACGTGCAGACGAAGGTCAGACGGAAAATTGAACGACTGCAACTTCTTCAAAAGCACAAGCTACGGTTGTAATAAAAGTCCCACACCGTACATTTTAAATATCGCACTAATCGTTTCTCTGACGCCCTTACGATAGAACCTTAGATTACACCAACAAGTAGTGCATTTCTATACTCCGACCTCTTGAGTCTTGCTATAAAGTTTCTGCCTTACACCACAGAAAACATACTACTTTTACACTCACCGACGTTGGTGGTTAGATAGAGTTCTCAAACTTTGATAAATAAATCAATAAATGCGATTCGCGTTTTTCATCCATCGTACCCAGTACAGGAAAATTTTTTGCAAAGCGACTCTCGACATAAAACTACGTAAAATACACACAAATAGTGAACAGTAACAATTAAGTGTAGGAGCTAACAACAAGAATGAGAAACAGTTTCGAGGTGTCCTGAAAGGTAACTCTTCCAGCGTTAACTTGCATGTGTCATCTGCTTGGACCTTGAGATTGTAGGTGAGTTCTATTGCACAATTAGGGAAGAAATACGAGAAGTTCCACTAATCTCAATTTCAAGCCTCACTTTGGAAAGTAAACGAAATTCCCTTAGCAGGTACTGCGAGAAGAAATCCCCTCCCGTGAAAATAATACCCAAGATGATTTTTAAGAAGACTCTTATGCACCATAAATTTAAATGCAAACATTATTTTCTAAACGCATTTGGTGGGTCGGCTTGAAGCAATGTTCGGACAAAACCAACTTTTAGAGAGTCTGCAAACCTCAAAAAAATTAACAAATCAACCGTCACTGGGTATTTTTAAGTGGACCACTTATAGTTGTCGCAATGCAAATGAAGGTGATGTAGAAAGGGAAGGTTGAGTTAGGTAAGGTTTGGTAATTTTTATACGTCAGCAGGCTACCTCTTGTTCATATGCACCACCTTAATTTGCATAGGGAACATTTTAATATTGGTGGACCTAATCTTGAATAGACCCTAAATCTCTTTTTATACTACTTCAAATATTCCATATTTTACACTACATTTTATCCTTATTTTACCCACATTTCCTCACGCCCGAAGGCGTGTGTCGCTTTTGTTCCGCGGTTGAAGGCTAATTTCTTCACATCACTTTTGTTCCGGGGGTCAACAGGTAGATTTCGGGACCGGCCGAAACATCGCTTTCGTTCCGCGGACATCTCCCTTGTTCCGCAAGAGAGGGGCTGCACTCTCCCTCCCCCAAATCCTCTCTTTCATTCTCCTCCTAATTATTTCTGTCATAGGTTAGGAAAGGTTATTGAAGGTTAAATTGTTGATATTTTTGTTAAGGAGAAAATTATAATTTAACGAGTTTTAGAGCCCGCATGAAAGAATTAGGATGAGGGGAAAAGAGAGAATTTGGGGGAGGGAGAGTACAGCCCCCATCGCGGAACAAGAGAGATGTCCGCGGAACAAAAGCGATGTTTCGGTCCCGAAATCAACCTGCCAACCACAGGAACAAAAGTGATATGAAGAAATTGTCCTTCAACCGCGGAACAAAAGTGATACAGCCACCCGGAGCGCCCGAAGGCTGCTCCTGGACCCTTGACATCTCCCACATCAACCTACAGATAGTCCCTTTGTCCCGCTAATTCCCAATATATTGCCCTGCTAAGCCAACCCTTCCAGCATCAATGAGTTGGCATTTTTGCACCCCAGGCGTCGCTGAACAATGCACTTCTATTGTGTCACCACCCAATAATGTGAGAGATGTCTACAAATGAATACTTCATCATCGTGCGATACTTCGCATAAACAATCGATATGCAACATATTGCAAACTCGACTATCTTATCATTGGTATTTGAAGGTTTATTGCGGGCATATTCAATTACGAAGAGTAACAAATAAGCTTACACAACGTTTTGAGTAATAAGATCTCCAAGTGTAAAAGTGCAACATGACACGAATAGTTCACAAACCCACACAAAGCTGATACATTTTAAAATAAAGCGCACAGAGAGAAGTCTTACGTAGTCAAAAAAAGAAGAAAAAGATGAACGAAAAAAGTAGTACAAATATGGCTCAAAAATTTCTCACGGGAGAACGGTTTCATATTCCAAATCCGAAATCTTCATGAAAACTACTTTTTTTTTTATCGTGATGGAAACGTCAGCAATAATCCCTCAAATAACCCCCGCCACAGCAAACCTGCAGGCTAAGCGAATTTCCATTTGCCTTATTGGATTTTCTCTAAAATATTAGATTTATTCCCTATTAATAGAAAAAAACCGTTAGGTGAGTTCCTAGGTTTGAGGTCCTAGGTTCCTATGTTTCCTTTCCTAGGTTTGCTGCTATAAGGAAGGCAATATAGTTTTTGTCAATTGTTAAATAAATAAATCGGTGTTAAGTAAATAAATGTATC